GCACATGAATGGCATTGCGCACTCCTTTCACTTTATTTATGTACACGTCGACCTATTTTCACTTAAAAAAAATCCCAGAACTGCACAAACTTGCATTGCACACTCCGTTTACTTTGTCCATGTACACATCGATATATTTTCACTTAAAAAATTAAAGGAGCACCCAATTCTACAATATTGGCAAACAAAAAATACATAATCTCAGTAAAAATCATCTTAAACCAAACAATAACATAAAAAAGGAAAAACATGTTATGCATTTAAGCACTACCAAAAGCAAATATTCACTTACCCTGTTTAGAAGTTCCTTCGTCTTTAGTTTGTGGCACAATTCCTAAAATTATCTGAACTTGAATCCGTATATCGGCGTTGCCTCATAAATTCTCAAAAATAAGAGTAAAATATATCCTGCGTAATTCCTGACTGTCGATGACACTTTTTTCGAAAATCTCTCTACACCACACTTCTGTCTTGATGATTTTCGAGTTCGCTTCGTACACCCAGAGACACGTAAAAATCAAAATATCAATCAGACTCAAACCACTTTTTTCAAACCAGGTACCCTTTCTGATCGAATGCTTCACCTAGTGGCCATCTGAACCTTTCTTCCTGCAAACCCATTAAAATCCATCTAAACGATTTTTACGTTCGACTAGAAGCATATCCTTCCTACATACAGGACACTACATAAATTATAATGGCTACTAAGTAAACCTTCATTTACACACCATTCAATTAACGCTCTTTTCCCCTTTTGCTCCAAATTGTGCAGAAACTTCAAATTAATCTTAACTACATTCAGCCATTCTACGGTCTAAACAATCAAACCAACACACACCACAGAAATGCTTACAAAACATCCCATGATTCAAAATTTCCCAGAATAACCACCCGATTATGTCACGGTAGGGTTTCCATAACATTCAACTACTCAGGCTACCATATATGAAACAACTTTGCCATAATTCAAGGGGTACCTTAAAGTCTACTCTAACCAAAATTTCTTCCTTTTAATTTTTTCATGGTAAGAATTTTTACTATTTAATTGTCTCGGAATATCCAGAGAATATGTATCAGTTTTCTCTATAAAATTAATTTTACACTTTTTCCACTGTTTTTTTTTTTTTTTTTTTTTTTCTTTGAAATATTTCTAGCCCCTTTTTCTCTTGCAGAATTGGTACGGCGAAGTTTTCTTTGGGATTTTAAACATTGCAACTTGGAAAGTTTAGAGGGATTTGAAGGCAAGATTTACAGACCCACAATTCTAGTAGGCTCCCCAAAAAATTGATAAAATGAAAAATGTCTTCATTGTATTAACACATAATGGATGTATTTTACAGAAAGTGTGTGATGAATTTCTTACATTTTTGGGAATTTTTGGAAGGACAATGAAAACATAATGTTTGAATGTTGTACTTTTGATACTAGAAGTCTTTTTCTTAAACATGTTTATTTTCCCTTTATTTTCTCAGCTTTTCACTAGGCACAAGTATGAAAAGCATCAGAAATGTTTCTAATCTTTTCGCATGGACAGACATTTATAAAAAAGAATTTTTCTATTAATAAAGAAATGGAAAACTGACAATTTAAAAGACAGACAATGGATCATACACAGGGCTTATGCAAGGCATTTTTCCACCTGATGCAATTTCCGTCAATCCTAAATTCTGCTCTCATTGCCTGACCTAAATTCTAAAAGTTTTGCCATTTCTAGATTTTGTTGCTCGATATGTCACTAAATTCTAAAAATTCTGCCTCATCGGCCCTGAAACCAGCCCTTACTATACATCATTTCATATTTATCAGCTTTTTTTTTTTTTTTTACATTCTTAATGCATTTAGTTTTTTAGAATAACAGAAATCTTTAATAAATTCCAAACATTCTAAATTGAAGAGAAAACAAATTGAAGAAAGAAAGTGAATACATAAAAAGGAAGAAGATTATTCTTTGGTGATATGTACAGTTATTATTATGCAAATTAACCAGTGTTTTATAATTTTAGCCTTTACTATAAGTTCCCCTTTCCGTTTCCTCACCGTAATGCAAATCAGATAGTTTTTAAACTGAGGTTTTGACACAGAGTATTGAAAGAAGTAAACTTAGAAAAGATGCTAAAGGGAAGGAAACTGATGTAAATTAGCTAAAATATCAGGAAAATTTTCAAATTAAAAAAGAAAATGTATTTTGCTGTTTGTTATTGCTAGCTTTTAATGTATAAATATACTAATATCATTTTAGAATCAATATCACAAATTATAATTTCTGTAAAATATTTGTAATGCTTTTTAATGGATATTTTTTAAATAAAAAAAACTGTCACCATGTAAATATGTTATGACAAAGGATATCTAACTACTTTTTTCAATTATTTGTAACTAATTGCTCACCCTTGAAAGTTTTCTCTACATGTTGAGTTATAGGCTTTCCTTAACCCTTTCAAGACGGGCGTCCCATATATGCATTCCCTAAGAACATCTCCTACAGCCGGACATCCCATGCACCATGCATCACTAGAGATTGCATTCAGAGGATGGGTGATGCATATACCCATTTTAAGCTGGAATGTTTTTCTGGAGGCCACTAGATGGCATCCTGTGTCCATTACTTTTGAAATGAACACTGTTTTAGGTTCCTGACCTTGAGTTTGATATGTTCTGCCTGACTTTGGTATTTTACTCATCAACTGTTGCGAGGGGGGGAGGGAAAGCGTAAACAGAGGTGGGCTCTTTAAATTACTGCGTGCTAATATAAACATTTGCGTGTCTGATTTATATCGAATTTCTTTTTTTATTCTATTTTTTCCCTTTACTATATACGGTCTTTTAGGGTTACTATGTGGAGCTTCGTTGCATTTTGCATTGCCTTCAGATATATTTCCATTTCTTCTCTTTTTATTTCAGAAAGCCTCCAGTCTATTATGGTGGGAAGGCTCTATTTATCAGAGGAAGAATACCCTCATATGGTTAATGAACTATTTAACACAGATGAGAGTAATGATACTTTTTCTAAGACTTAGAAAGTGATACTTCTCCGTGCTTCGAGATTTATCACGCTCAGTCTTCATTTTAAATTTTGTTACTTCTTACTATAAATAGTCTTTATTGTGTTGTTTTATTAATTTTAAACTTTATTGATGGATTTTATCAATTAAAACTTTGGAATAATTTGAATAGCGCTTCCGAAAATTATTTACAATATAAGCAGTTTTTTAAGTATATTTTCATGTAAAATAAAGAAAAAAAGGTTATTAAGTGCTAATTTTAACATATATAAGAGCTCAAGTAATAATCTAAAATGATATCAAAAATTAAGTTGCTAGAAGTGAAACATTTTTTCTGATTTTTTTTTTATAAAATTAGCCTTAGCGATGCAAAACCCCTGGCCTGTATGGTGACTGCCTTCGATTCCCTTCCGTCACGCATGAGCATATTAAACAAAGGTGTGCCATCACGAAAGGATTAATTCTTATTGTGGATGTGTAAGATAACAACACGAAAATGTAAAAATTAACATAAAATTTTATTCCTTACAACTAACGAGATTTAATACAAAACAGCTTTTCATCTCTGGTGCTTCGACGGCTTATTGAAACTTTATATTAAATGCTCTATATTAACTGGGTTACAACTCCAGCAAATATACATGGAGCTGCAACACTAGCTGGGTTAAACAAAGGGCAGCTAACTTTCAACGCTTACCAATGCATTAATGTCATGCAATCACATCTGTTCTGTCAGTGGCTCTCTGTCTCTAGGCAAGCAGCAGTTAAAGCAACAGCCAGACTTCTATTATGAGTCATGTTGATTACTATTTTACTTTCCAATTTAACTTATGCCAGACATGAAATCTGTATAAATCTTTGAACTGAGCAAATACATGGTCAAAATGAGGCATAAAAGAAAGAATCAGTATAAAGCTAACCATTATTAAAATTTAAATAAAAAGTAACTAATCTCTGAAATATATGACATTTGTTATAAGTGTAAAATATAAATCTTTGAAGAAATTATATAATTTAATGGTAATTACTTGAAAAAAATATGAAGTTGCTTTTATTCTTGAATTTCTTTTATAATTAAGTTAAATAAGTAGATTATGTTTAATAATAAGGCAGCGAACTTTCAGATTTATTTTATGATTAACAATTACAAAAGTGAAGTTCAGGTGTAGATGATTGCTTTAGTTTATTCAATTCCTGTTTGCTGGTAGGTCCTTAAATTTTTCATTGATGGTCATTTAAAGTACTTAATTTTCACTTGCAGAAATGTGTACAAACCCTGTAAATATTTCTAAAAATTTATCATTTAGTTGATATGCAGATTTTAATACTTACATATCAAAGCACTACCTGTCATTTCAGTAAGCGATAACTTGCCTTAATAGCACTCATATTTTTTCATTGATAACTTACTAGTAAAATCTGAATAGCAGTTGCTTGCATGTATAATCATGGCTGCTTTCTATGTATTTAATTAGTCTATTTATTATTACATAGCTATATTTTTGACCCTTTTTGTAAGTATGTATCTCTTAAATCTATCAAGTTTGGAAATAGAAGCTGTCTACCTTTTTTTAAGATTGCCAGAAAATCAGAAGTGGGTTAATTTCCATAAAATGAAATTGTACAAACTCGGGAAAACTTATGGTTAATGTGTAATGTGCATATGTATAGGTAGGTAAATTGTAATGATAAAACAAGGAAATTGTTTTGAGGTAAGCAGATCAAATTTATAGTCTGTCATGTGGTTTAATTGGTTCCTGTATGATTATATGTGGTTGCAATAGAGTCAGATATTTAATGGCAAGTTAACATCAGTAGCGTCTGTCATGATAAATATCCACCAACATCTAATTACCCAAATTTTTATAGATAATAAAGTAACAAGTTTACTCATTCATTGCTAATAACAAATTTATTCATTCATTACCGAGTAATAATGTCAATCATTTCTAATACTGTGTGATTTAAACTTTCAATTGATATGCATTTCTTCCCAAGAAAATCGGAGTTTTCAAGCCAAAGGATGAAGAACCATATGGACGTTTAAATCCTAAGTGGACTAAATGGATGCATAAACTATGTTGTCCGTGTTGTTTTGGAAGAAGCTGTTTAGTTCCTAATCAGGGCTCCTTGTCTGAAGCTGGAGCATCACTGGTTGATCAGAAGTTACAGTTGAATATTGTGCCAAAAACAAAGGTGTGTAGTATATTCATTAATAACGCTTATATTTTATATGTGTAGCTATGCAGTCTGTTGTTATATGAAATTAATAGTTCAACTGAGAAATCCAGTGCAGTATATTTTATATATAAATACAGTCAAAAGTCGTTAATCCGGACTCGTCGGGACTTCGGCGATTCCGGATTATCGATTTTTCCGGATTATAGATCATCAGTTTAAATCTGGTAAGATGGCATGCAGAAATTATAAAATTAAAAATATGAAACTGTAATTTATGAAATTAAGAACAATTATGATCTAAAGGGTATCAAAATTTACAAAAAAAAAAAAAAAAAAAAAAGCTAATATTTATTTATTTGTTTACTTTATTAAACATTTCTTTCAATGTTAGTTGTTTAAGTTGCTTCGCTTTTTATGTGATTAATACATTCTCTATAATTCTATAAACAGACATAATTTCTTGTTCACTTACAAAGTTCCGCTGTTCAAGTCCTATATTTGCTGTGTCGAGAATACCGACTAATTTTTCAATCGAAATTTTTTCATTTTCAATAACCTCTGTCACTTTCTTCGCTATCGGAAGCAAATTATAATGACGAGGAATTTGATTTAAAAAAGACGGAGTACATCGAGATGAAATACTACATTTAGTAAGGAATTATAAGCCAAATAAAATAAAAACATCTGCCCTGAAGATAAGGATAGTGCTGACAGATCAACTTCGAATTCATTGCGCGCACTGCGGCGTTAAAGATAAACAAACATTAAAGTTTAGATAAACAAAGGATATGCCTTTATCCATTTTTTGCAGCAATTCCACTTTTTGTTTAATAGACTTTGAAACATACTTTCGCTTTGTAGATCCTTTCCATATTAGTAAATAAATATCAGAAATTCTATTTGACATAATCGAAAGTTCAAGCTTACTTTTATAAAATTGCTCTAACAGTCTGCAAAAAATAATAAGCCGAATCCAATTCGAAGATTAAGGAACAACGCAATCTGCAACATTAACTGAATTAGATAATTTTAGCTTAGCTTATACCATCCGTTATACATTAAACCCGTATTTGTAAACGTATTTTGCGCACGCGCACACACATATTCGCAGCCGTAAAGGTCTTACGCGCATGCGTCTTGACGCATGCGCAGAAAGTTTGTAGCTTTGAGGTCCGGATTATAGATCATTCCAGATTATGGGTGTCCGAATTAACGACTTTTGACTGTATGTAAATTTTAATTCGTATGCTAAAAATATTGAAATGCTTATAGTAAATCTTTCTGAAGTGCATCATCTCAAAATTAATCTTTGTCATATTATTATTTTGTAATACTGTTGGTGCATCTACTTACATAAAATGAAATTGAAATGTTTTGTCTGATAGTATTCATGCTGAAACTTCCATAAGTAGTAATAATAAAGTGATACTATGGGCCAGGTTCTCATTTCACTCAAACTATAGTTTCATTGTGAGCAGTATTTAAATTAATAGACTGCAGATATCATAATTGCCTTATCAGATCTAGCAATGCACAGTACAATAAGAAAATTTCTGAGAAATCCATTTTTTCTAGCATCAGTTTAAATGGGAGATTTCTAGCTGCAACTTTTGGACAGTAGTTTCATTCCAAACAAATCAGAGTAGTTATCCCTGCAGAAGGTGGTTAAATAAAATATTGATTAATTGGTTTTCTAATTCATTGGCCAGTGTGTGCATACAAGAAGGAACCTGCAGATTTTCAATTTTTGTGCCATTATTTCTGCTAGGAAAATCATTGCAGAAAATTTATTCTTGTCTCAGAGGACACGTGCAATAGCAGAGGATTCCCGGCCATTGCCAACAGAGGCAGTTCCAGCATGCAGAGGATTTTATGAGGGGTATGGTGATTGGAATGAGAAGGGCAGGTTGGTCCATATGGCATATGTCAGTTGACACCCACTTGGATACACCCACAGTGCACCAGCTGTAATGATGATAGTTGAAACAAGGAAATGTGGTAAGTTCGAGTGGTGATGGTGCAGCTAAAGTGACAGCATGCATGGATGGACACATCTGCCGACAAGTGGTGGCACACTCGCAAGTCATTTCTACCTCTATTCTGTCGCATGTTCAAGACACCCTTTATGTTTGGATTTTCCCCTAGTGACCACAACCATTTGCCATTAATTGGTGGCTAGTGGCTTGCACTCGTGGCGTCCATTAAGAAGACTACCATTGATCCCACATCATAGATGCAAACGTCTGCAATGCTATCAGGCTCGAGCAATGTAGGCTATGGAGGGTCATGTTCACAGATAAGTCGTGCTTCTGATTTTCCATTAAGAATTGCAACATACGAGTGTAGTGTCTATGTTGAGACAGGTCCAATCTGGTAGCAATTGTGGAACTCCCCACTGCGCGACAACGTGGCATCATGGTTTGGAGCACAGTTGTGCATGATTCCAGGTCACCTCGAGTTCGTATTCAGGGCACTATGATGGCCCAACAATACATGGGTGATGTGCTGCGGCCAGTGACCCTTTCCTACATTCAAGGTATGCCCAATGCCCTTTATCAGCAGGATAATGCCCGACCACCCACTGCTCACATCAGCCAATGTGCTCTACAGGGTGTACAGATGCTTTCCTGGCCATCATTCTCTCCTGATCTTTCACCAATTGAACACATTTGGGATGTAATTGGATGCCATGCCGTGTTCAGAGGACAAACTGTTGCAAATCGTTAATGCTTAGAATAGGGTGATCAAAGAAATGGCCAAAACTGCAGAGTCTCAAAAAGACAGCCGTGGCCGAAATTTCAGCCAGAGAAATTCTTCCCCCCCCATTTAGGGTATGGAGAAAGTCATTGTCTGATGACATTCGCGCCTCATAACTATGGGGTTTCGTAAATTCCCTTTCATTTTCCCTCAACAGTGCAATGTTAGCTCGATGCAAAAACTTTCAGTTGTGTTTCGCATGATTAACTCTAGAATTCTACATAAGTAACCTAACTATACTGATATGCATATGCTTTATCGTATATACATATGCAAATGAGGTGTGTGTGCATATGTAACATAAACTAGAATGCATAGCATATTATGTATGCTACTTGTGTACATGTATGCAAACAGATATATGCATTTTATGTGCCCACGCAAGTAAAAGCATACACATGTACGTATGTGTAATACTATGTATATGTGAATACTGTGTATATATACAGATAGAGAGACGTATCCATATATCTGTATGTATACATATCACAGATTTAAATTCACAGAAAATCACAGATTTAAATTCAAATATTAATTTATATTTTTTTCTCATTTGCTGTAGAAGTTTTATTCAGAAATACGAAGAGACAAAACGTGATAATGTTTCACTTATTGATTTTATGGAAAGGAACTAATTCCCCTTATAAAGTCAGGACATTCTACGAGATCATCAAATAATTTCTTTTATGTATTTGCTTCTTGTATTTCTTTTGTTATAAATATTTGCAAATCCAAAATGTGGCAAGGAAGCAAAATATGGGAAATGTATTAAATTACAGTTTTATAGCATTTGCTAAAATTTAACTTTTAAAACTATCTCTCATTAAATTAGCATTTACTCTTCATTTCTTAGAAGATAATCAAAATTTAGGTGTTCCTAGGAGGTATTTACTGCTAAGGGATTATTTTCATTACAACACAAAGTAAAAGGTTAATATACCATTCGACAGATACTTAGCTACGAAATCTCACCATCATATGTTTCCCTAGTTTAGGGAAAAGACACAGCAGAAAAGAGAAAAAAAATCCTTTGTATTATTCCCTAGTCTCTTATCTGAGAATTAACAAAGGCGACCTTAAGGAAAGGTTTCAAAACAGTAATAGTTTCCCTTTACAATTGCAGCTAAAAAGGGGTGGAAATGAATTTGGATTACCCTTCCTTGTAAGTGAAACCTTTTCTAACTCCCCAGTCTTTCAAAGGTTAACAGGGAATGGAGAGCCATTCCTCAGGACACCATCTATAGTCTCATTGATTCTATACCTCTATTCATCTTGCTTCATGTATCCCCATCCATGGTGGTCCTACGACCTTTTTTTTTTTTTTTTTTTTTTTTTTGTAGCTGATTGATATGCATGAAATTAACTCAGAGTTTAGCCATTTAATGGTATCAAAATGTGTACTTTTTTCATTAACAATTACTATAAAATTAGAAGCAATGTTAACTCTTCTTTGTACTCGGGGTTTTTTTTTTTTTTTTTTTTTTAGTTTTCAATTTCTTTGTTTGTATTTTCATGTATATGAATTCAAATTACCTATTAGCGTATTTAGACCAGTGTACCACTGAGAAATGAAGTTTTAGACATGGTAGCTATGTCTTAGATTGGTTTGCTAAGTATTTGTTACGTAATGCTATACTCTACTTTTTGTATAATGTATCATAAAATGTATTCAAAATTTAAGCATTACTCAATAGGGCACTGTTTAAAGCACCTAATGTAATCACCTAACACACTATATTATCTTATTTTGGTACTTACGTATTATCCCAACCAGGTTGGCGCGATTTGTAAGTTTGAGTAAAAAAGTATGAATAGAAAGAAAATGTGCATTTATTAATTACAGATAATTTTTAATACAGTTTTTTTATATTATTTTGTTTTAAAATATAAAATAGCAATTAAACCCTTCCGGTTTCGAATTTGAATAAGTTGCAGAATTATTTTTTCGGCCGCTTTTTGGCTATTGCTTTTAGCACTGATTGAAAACCGTCTTCGCCATTAACAGCTTGAGCTTGGCGCTATATAAATTCGATAAGGTATGAGTCAAGATGATGACGGGCTGTTCCTCTCTGTTTTTTGTTGCGCCATTTGGCTGAGCCCCACATGCGCTCTACATGTTGTGTGTGAACGCCCGTGTTGGGATCCACAAAGTTATATTTGTGATTAACAGTTCCATGCAGAAATCCAGCATTTTCGAACTCACTTGTATTGTATCCTTTCCAGCAATCCGAATAAATGATGCTTCCTTCCTTGATATT